TATTGGATTTGTCCTGTAACAACCTCATCTCCTTGCCGGTAAGGTGCTGGAGAGCCTTTGTGGGATGAGTCTGCTGGGAAATGTTTAGAAACAATAAGTAGTGCTTCAGTAAAGGTTCACCGGGGGGTTTGGAGCTGGCATTTTCTCCACCCTGGGGTGGCTGAGTGAGTGACTCTGCTGTCAGGACAGGTCAGTACTGGCGGTGGTTTTGGCTGAGGCAGGAGAGAGAAAAGGGTTGCACTGCGTGAAGATTGCAGCATCTTCCTGCCAGAGGATCCCCACGTGAATACAGACCAGTTTCGTCAGCAGTGGAGACTTGGGTTTATTTCAGTTGTATTGCTGCACATCACCGTGTCAGTTTGTCTGTCTTGTTTGTCCCTGTTTTCTACCTCTCTCTTCCAAGGCAAGAGAGAGTGATTTTCCTCTGTCACAGTTCTGTCGTAAGTTAAGGATTTGTGGCTTATGTAAGGTGCAGGCTATTTCCACATACTCCCCGCTGAGGTTCCTCCATAAAGGTGCTGACAGGCTTTTTCTGGGTGGTTTTGTTTGTGTTTGGGTTTTAGTCAGACTTCTGCAGTTTGATGCATCTGGTGAAACTAGATTTGAGTAAAAATCGGCTTCAGCAGCTGCCCTTGGACTTTGGCCGCCTGGTCAATCTGCAGCACCTGGACCTTCTGAACAACCGTTTGGTCACTCTGCCAGTCAGCTTCGCACAGCTCAAGGTAAAACTGTTTACTGGGAAGTTACGTAAAGCTTTGGGATGCAGCCCAGGGTCTTGTGATCCTTCTCAAGTTGATTTCTCTGGTAAAGCATCCATCCTGCTGACTACCCATTCCGAAATCCAGCTGGCTCTGCATCGCAGCTCAGTGGAAATTCTCTCGCGTCTATTGAAAACGTCTCTGCTCAAGCTCTCTGCTTGTCTTCCGTACCTGTTTCATTCATGCGAAAACTAAGGAGTTTTTTGCCTCTGCTTTGGATCTCTTAAATAATTCCAAGACTCCTGTGCTCTTACAGCCTCCCCATTATCATTCTCTTCTGCAGAACCTGAAGTGGCTGGATCTGAAGGACAATCCCCTGGATCCTGTCCTGGCTAAAGTAGCAGGAGACTGTCTGGATGAGAAGCAGTGTAAGCAGGCTGCTGTCAAGGTAAGGAATCTGCTTGTGTTTTCTTTTTCCTTACTTGGCTTTGTTGGAGGTGGTTCTTCCTTTTTGCTTAGCAAGCTGGGTGGCTGCTGCAGCAGTTTGAAGTTTCTTCAGCCAGTGAGGTGCAGGTTTACTGCACGGACTTCACTGCTTCTGTGCCTGTAGAAAGCAAACACTGGGCTGAGCAGGCTTCTCTTCCCTTACTGGAGTTCAGAGAGGACTAAATGCTGGTTGCCAAGAAAGTGGAGGCGTAATCAGACAAAATAATCCATGTCTAGGCTTATAGTCCAGAGTACAAAAATCTCTGGAGAAGTTCTGGCAAACTAAAGGCTTAGGTATATAGAAGTGTTTTGTGATCCTCTGTAGTGGCTAGCACCAGTTTGCCACATTTGTTTTTTAATGGAAAGATCTGTTTCTTAACTGGAAAGATTCATGTGGGAAGGTGCGAGCTCTTTCTCCTCAGAGCTGTACCTGAAGAGGTGAGTCAGGTTGGTGGCCAGCCCCAGGTGACTGTCCTCAGCTACACTCCAGCTGTTCTGTTTTGAACTGACTGTGCAACAAGCCTCCTGCAGAGACCTCAGGTTGTTTTCTTGGACCTTGAAGGTACTGCAGCACATGAAAGCGATCCAGTCTGAGCAGGATCGACAACGGCAACGGAAGCTCCAAGCAGAGAGAGGTAAGGACAGAGCCCTCGAAAAAATTCTTGGTCTCTCTCACATGCCCAAACACACTGATTGCCATCTAACAAATTTCCATCTAACAAATACTTGTAACTGTCAAAATCCTGAGGGCTCAGGGAGTAGTAGGGTAGAAGGGCTGGAGGGAGAAAAATAGTGGGGGACAACTATGCGGTTTCTTGCCTGAATAATGTCTTGATCTCTAGATGGAATGTGCTATAAGTTACCTATAAAAATATGAAAGAAGAGCACAGGATTTATTTTAAGGGAAGCCTAATTCAGAGGGAGCAAAATGCAAGGTATGTAATAATAAAATAAGAAACCCCCAAAACTAAAGATAAAAAAAGAGGATAGTTATTTGATTGGTTTCCTTCTTCCAGTTGGGAGCAGATAAGCAGGTAATAAGAAAGGCGGCAATGACAACCCTTTAGATAACAGGAAAAAACTTCCTATGAATCCCCAGAAATGGAGAAGAAGCGTGAAGCAGAACAGCGAGCAAAGGAGGCTCAAGAGAGGGAACTGCGGAAGCGAGAGAAGGCAGAAGAAAAGGAACGCAGAAGACGGGAGTACGATGCTCAGAAAGCTGCGAAACAGGAGATGGAAAAGAAAACTAAAAAAGAAACCGTGCAGACCCGAAGTAAGTAGTATCCATTTTGGGTGAGATTGCATCAAGTTCCATCTTCATCACATTCTGATCCTGCCAGATTTGCTTTTATGCAGCCCAGGTACTGGGAGATGATGGGAGTTGGGGGAGAACCTGTAGGACTTCTAATAAGCTCTACTGCTGTGCCCTTTTCCCCTTCAGCTGTGTTGACAATAAGCTGCTGAATGACAAGATTCAAAAAGTTCTCCAGCTGTTCCTAAGGAGAACGTCCCTCCACTCATCTCTTTTCAGATGTACTGAGCTATATGTGCAAACCCAGATCTTGTGCAACACAGAGGTGCTTTACACCCTTTTTGCTGCCACTCGTGAAACTAAATCTAAACAGGTCGATCCTGTGCATCTGTTTATTAATCAGAGTTCAGTGATGAAAATTTGTGACAAAAGACAACTGCAGCACAGGCTAAAGTACCTTACCCGAACAGCTTGTTTCTGAATGTTGACTGTTAAAGGTATTTGGTTAATTCCTCACATTCTCTATCTCGTAAATGTTCTCACGACAGAGCCTGCCTCCAGTTCTCGTCCCGCTCAGCCGCCCCGGCACAAGCACTCCTGGTCGCGGTCCGTGCTGCGGGTCCTGCTCTTCCTGCTGCTGTGCGTCCTCTGTACTTTGGCCGCCTGCAAGCTGACGGAGCTGCAACATCAACCTCTGTGCATCAGCGTGAACACTCTCTACGAGGACGTGTTAGCTGCTCTGCAAAACCATAAAACCCTGCAAAATATGCTACAACAGAACTCGCAGCAGTGATTGTCCTGGACGGGCACTTGCTTCGTCAGCATCTCCCTCCACCATCTACGCAGCCAGAATTCCTATGGAATTGTGTTCTGATGAAACTGCTTTTAATCCGTCAGCATTGGTTTGCTGGTCCACTCCACCCAGAGCAGAGTTATTGTTTGTATCATCTTTGCTGTGCATGTTTCGCAGTTGGCCTGTAACTCCCATTATTTGCCCATGTTAATACTTCTTACCTCTGAGGGATGTTCACCTAGATTGTGAGATCCAGAAAGCCACCAGTCTCTAGGAGCAGAAAAAAACAGCCCTTGCGTTACCTAGGTACCTAGAGCTCCGTCCTGGAGGTAGAAGGTTTTTAATACATATCCGTTCCTTGCTCTCATTTCTGTTTGTGCTAAAATTGGTGATGCAGCTGTATGGGAATAATATACTAAGGCCCACTCCAGGACCAATTACAAGTGTGTAGGATGGCTGTGCATCTGCATGTTGGAGCAAAGAAGCTGATGTACTATGGAAAGGAGCTGAAAATTTTCAATACAACAGTTTTCGCAGCAATTTGTCTGAACTGGATGTTTATGTTGCTAACGCAGTTTTATTTTTAACCAGATTGTTTAGAAACGGCTAAAAATGATTTCTGAGCGCGCACATTTTAACCAGCTAGTGCCAGCAAAGCAGCTACAGCTTAGGAAGGGCTTCAGGCCAGTCTGCAGACTGGTTTTGTGTCTGCAACGGGAGGGGGGTCCCCGAGACGCCCCCAGGACAGACAGCGGGCCGGTTGCCGGCTGCAGCGGTGGCAGGTGGCACTGGGTGGCACTGTGGCAGCGTCACACGCTGGGGCCGGCGGGCAGAGAAGGGCTTTGCCTCGGGGCTGGTGGGAAGGCTGGGAGGTTTGGCGGTTTGCAGCGAGAGAAAACTTGCCTGTCAATTATTAATGATTTCCTTACGGAGAAAACCAAACAGAAGTTCGTCATAAGGGCTTTGTGAGTACTAAAAGGAAGCGTACAGACGACGTAAGTGCAGGTTTCAGAGAATGCCCGTGTGACAGGCTCCACTGAGACATGCCTACATTAGTCACCGGATCGCTCCCTCTCTTCTAACACCTGGGATCATTGCTGATGAGAGCAGTGCCATAAGGAAATCACCTATAGCATTTCATGCCGAGGTCATCACTGAATCACTAAGCCTTCACCTTTTTGTAACTTAATGGTAAGACTGGTTCACCGAGCACCACGCAGGAAAAAGCGGCAGCGTGAATATCGGATAAAAGGAAGGACAGGCTGCCCAGCGCTGGCTTAGCAGTACGCGTTTTCTAAGCTTCCTTGAAACAGCTTTAGGCTTTGCTCTTGGTATCTAACTCATCACCTTCTTTAAAAGGTCCTTACTTGCTATCCAGAATGTTGGGAAACATGGCAAACAACATGCAAAGCGACGTTTCCTCCCTGCAGACGTTCCTGCCAGCGTCAGGCAGGAATCCTCTGCCATCCAGGAGCGTGCTGCTCCAGTTCATGCACGCCAGGATAACGAGATTATTTATCAGCTCAGGTCAGGAGCGCGCCGCTGGCCAGGCAAGGCTCCTGCGGAATGCCTGAAGCTGGTGTAGCCAGTGGTGCAGTGTGGTTCCAAAGGGTGACTTCCACACATCGGGTGCGGGTTAATTTACTCTTAGCTCCCATCTTGGTAAGTGCTGCTGTCAGACCTCAACCGTCCTTGCGTGCGCGCAAGTGCTAACGGCTTCGCGGACAGGCGAGCATGTTCCCCAATCTAATTAAAAGAAAGCTTTTTCTGCCAACTGGTTAGACCTCATAATTCCAGCGCATATAATCAGATTTCAAGACCCTCTATAGATTAAGCCATCTGGAGACTGAATCAGGGCAGTCTAAATTTATGTCTGAAAATTAGTCTTACTCATTGCCATCTGCCACAACGGGAAAACTGAGAGTCTGTTTTGTGAGGTGAAGTTCTTCCACCTCACTGGAGCGGGTGCTGGGGGGGCAGCACCACGTTGCTTTTAGCATTAGGATTTCTCATGCTGGAGAGAGAAGATGACTACTTGCACTTTAGGATAGCAGTACCAAGTATTCCTTTCGACACATGACATACCTATCTATATTTAAGACGGCATGTTAAGAAGCAAAGATCGTTATAATTATGCAAAATTATTTATTTTCTAGGAAGATAAATAAAAGGAACTATCAGTACTATAAGCTGTGTCCAACTCACGCTCTTATGGAAGATGTTCACCATCTTTCTCATGTAAGGTCCAGCCATTCAGCAATTTTATCCAACCTTCTGCTGCTACAATAAAGTCTTGACCACAATAAAGTTTTGACTCTTTAAACTGGGATCAGTGACTCTATTACCTAAGCACCTCTTTCCAGAAGGGAGTTGAATACTTCAATCAAGCAAACAGTAAAATCCTCATTCCCTAGGGCTACCCAGTGCAATCCAAGTAGAGATCAGGATCATGGGAAGTCATCTGCAGATAGATACGTCGGGAGAGTTCTGGTCCGATCCGCCGGGAGGTGGCTGTCACGCCATCACCACGGTGCACAGGGATATTAGCCAGCATGTTTTCCCGCTCCTGGTCTGAGGAGCATCTGCTATAGGCCTAAAAGCAACACGAAGGAACAACGATATCATCCATTTGCATCTATTGCTCAAAAAAAATAATCAAAGCTATGTACCCATGGCTGCTCTACCCTTCCATAACGTACGCTCATTTTTCACTTTGACTCTCCCCAGATCTCGTTTGTGAGCTTAGACGCTGATGTGGAACCAATACTGCTCCCTCAGTAGTCTGCTCTGTAAAGTCAAAGCAACGGGTGCCAAGGAATCAGTTCCTTCACTACCTTACCAAACAGCTCGTATAGAATCGTGGTGTCAAATTTAATACCAATGAAATTATTTCTTCCGCTCTTTACCTTAGCTGGCTGGCTGCACACAGTACTGGCTATTCCTGAGGCATCCTTACCTGGGTCAGAAGCCGAGGAGAAGGGTAAGCAGACACAATAGCCTCAGCCATCTCGAGGCTGACCCGGTTAAATTGTTGTATCTGCCTTTTCCAAACTTCAAAGAGACCCTTTCCGGAACGATCCACCTTCACCCCTCCGCACCAGCCCTTCTCTAAGTAGAAAGGGAACTCCGTCTTCTCTCGAGCTCGCCTAGGGAGAACAAAAAATGGGAGAGCAAATGAGACAGTGAGGCTATGAAGAAAATCCTATCCCTGCATCTGTTGTCACACAGCTAGAGGTAGAGAGCCATTTCTCTCATTCTGTGCTGTTGTAGACACCATTGGCATCAAAGTAAACACTAAACATTTTCCTCTATTTTCTTCACATGCATTACCAATTTCCTTGTTTAAGATCTAGATTTCCTACTGAAAAAGAAGCAGTCCCATACTTGGGAGTAATCCTGACTCAAGTCAACACACAAACAAAGTGGCAAACAAGGATTCACTTTCTGACTGTCAACCGTAATAAAACACTTTTACATGTCATTTTTAATGACATCTCATCTCTTCTCATGGCTGGGATGTAAAACAGCAGCTGCTGTGATAGGAATGCTAGGATTGCATGAGACTGTGCAAGATGGCTTTCTCAGCTATTGCTGTGCAACACACTTGTCCTTCCTTACCAATGGAAACAGCTCAGGGATGGTTCATTCTCAGTAACATCGCTCTTGGTTACACACCGAAGAGGAAAACCTGGTGCTGTAAGAGCCCAACCCTACTTGTGTTCCCTCCCCACTCCTAAAAATCAAACTGAGAACAGGAGCTTTACTTGATGTCGAGGCTCCAGTGTGAAACCAGGGTCTTCTCCAGGCAGGACGTCAGTTTCCAAGAACTAACCCTGCGTTGAAGGACCTGCCTTAGTAGCTGCTCTGTGTCGCCTGCTCCTTTAAAAATCATTCTAGTGTGTTGTAGTGAAGTACAGCTGCATACCTGCTATTGCCTCCCATTAACCGTGAAAGCGCAGCCTCTCCAAAGAGGATATGACCAAACTCCATCTGCTTACTCACTTGAACGGTGCTTCAGCTACAGCTTTTGTGAACATAGTGGCAAATTCTCCGAGTGCCTCCCAGCTCTCAAAAGGGCTGACTTGAACATATTTGTCCAGCTGCAGATCAATCAAGGCCTGTAAACGTCATTGGAAACAACAAATGGAACAATTAATCTTTTCATACGAAACCCCACTCTTGTCTGAAACAAAAAAAGGGTCACAACATCTTGCTATAGGTTAAGAGCATCCACTCTCTCCCCACTTTGGTAACAGTTAATTTAAGGCACCGAAGTACTTGGGGGCAGCCCATCTCCTGCTGGTTAATATTAGTTTAGCAGCATTCCAGCTGCTGCAGCTCCTCACTGACAGGCTCTTGTTACACACAGGCCACCCAGCCCAGGGCAGGGCTGATGTGCTTTGCCAACAGGCCACCAAGGGCAAGGGCAAAGGACGCTGACCGAGACTGACAATTCACTGCCCAGGATCAAGGTGAACAAGACGCGTCAGTCCGTGGGAGAGCAGGTACGTACCTGAGCAGTGGGGAACTGAACCCACAGAGCTCTGTCCACAGACTAACAAGGGCTGAATCCTCCCATCCAAGAAAGTGTGTGACTGGGTCAAACGTTCAGACAATGGCAGACAACATGAGATGATGGCTGCCTGCCTGTTTTAAAAGTACTCACATCTTCCACGTCCTTTCTGGTTATTTCCATGTCAGAATCCTTAACTTTCTTTTTTCTCTGTTTTCCCTGTTCTTCTTCTTGGTTTCCACTCAGTGCTGCCTGTTGCAGTCTCTTTTTTGACTGAACTCTGAGAGACCTAAGAGTAGTAAAGTAAGACTGGGAGCTCATGCTCTTCCCCTGGTATTTGCCATTGGTCACTGTGGTGACAGGCTGGATGGACCTTTGCTTCCATTTCTATATAACAAATTGTGGAGCAGTTCTGGGTAGAAACACCTCTTATGCTCCTGTCTTTGCTAGAAGGAATTAATGTAAATACCTATGGTATTTTTCAAGGCCAGAGACAACACAGAAACATTTGGAGGGAAAAAAAGTTTAACCTGAAATAATTTTCTACTCCAACTACTGTCAGTGCTGGAATTTTCCCAGGCATTTTCTCCATCACATGAGATACATAGCTCTGTAGGGTGTCCTTCTGTCTTTCTGTACAGCCCTGGGACTCCTGCAAAGATCAATGGAAAAAAGGAGTTAAACCATTCTGAGGCACACGTGCAAGCACAGCAACCTATGGCTCTGATTTTGCAGCTGGGTCTGCAGACGAAAATGTCTGTTCATGTATCTCTTCAGGGACAAGCAGGCAATACTTGATCTAGTATAAAATTATGGCAGAAAGAAATAAAACCCAAAAATTAAAAAAAAAAAAAATCTCACTTGATCTGATAACGTTACCTCTTCAAATATCTATGAAAAATTGTAACTAGGAAAGAAAGCTTGACAGAACTTTGCATTATACAACCCCAGTGGTTTTGATCCATTATCAGCTTCTAAAAACAGATTTCTGGTTTACTGGAACCATGGCTCCATTCCACATCAAAACCTTCCTGCCATGAAGAGGGATGACAAACCACCTTTTCAGCAAGGCATGTTCAAGAGCACAAAAGTCATGAGCACTCTCACTTGTTTGTAGCTGCGAACCATGGACAAACACTCCTCCAAGCGAAGCACAATCAGGACGTTTGGTTCTTCTGTCCATTCCTCTCCTTCTTCCATCTGTCCAGATACGAAAACAAACAGCCAGACCAGCAGTCTGTTTATAATTCACTCAAACCAGTGCCCCCACTCAGACCTCTGAGGCAGGGAGAAGATTACAGGGTGTTTACTTGGGTTGTTAAATGTAATTACTAATGTGTGCAAATAACAGAGTAAGAAAAGGGCCAGAACATCAATATTTTACTCGCACACCTGAGACGACACAGTCTTTCTCCTCCAAGTGATGCTGCAGGGAACAGCCTGACTCTCAACAACACAGGAATAATTTGCAGCCTGCAAAGCACTAAGGATCTGTCCTCCACCTTCTACCTGTAAGAGACCTGAGATTGACGCACGGGTCAGGCCTCCACGGGGAGAGCTGACAGTCAATACAAGGCGGATGCAGGCTGCGAGTACCAGTACCTGGATCCAGCACCACCGTTATGTATTTCTGGCACTCCCCTGGTCGCTGAGCTTTCAGCATCCTGGCAAGGGCCTTCCTCCTCTCTTTTTCCTGCTTCTGCTCCTTCCTCCGTGCTTCTTGCTCCTTCCTCTGCCTCGACGCCTGGCAGATCGCCTCCCTTTCCTTCTGACTGTGTTTTGGCTTCTTGGGAGGGGGGGATGCTTCTGGGCTCGCTCTGCTCTCCAGGGGCCGACTGGGCTGGCCTGCGGGGTCAGGCTGAGGGGCCAGCGGAGGGCACGAGGACTGCTCGGCACCTTGCGCGCCCTTTTGGCTACCAC